AAAGTAGATTAGTGGTTGCCTAGGTCTGGGAGGATTGGAGGGAAATAGGTATGTGACTGTTAGTTTTCTTTTTGGGGTGATGAAAGTGTTCTGGAGTTGATTACAGTAATGATTGAACAACTCTATGAACAGACTAAAAAACCACTGAATTTTATACTTTAAATGGATGAATCTTCTAAATTTTTAAAAAATTAGTTTCAGGTGTACAGCAGTGATTCGGTTATACACATACATACATATGTATTTTCTTTTCAGCATCTTTTCCAATATATGTTACTATAAGAAATTGAATATAGTTCTCTGTGCTATACAGTAGGTCTTTGTTGTTTGTATGTTTTATATTTAGTAATGTGTCTGTTATAAGTAGATGAATCTTATGGTATATGAAAGGTATCTCAATAAAGCTTATACCAAAAAATAATTATATATAGCCACATGTTACTTATGGCTACCCATAAGAACAGTACACATCCAAGAAGACCTTAAGCAAGTAGAATGTGTCCTTGGGCTCAATTGTATAGTTAGGATAAAGTAATTTGTAGTAAAGGGATATCATGAATAATTTGGTTTTCCTTGTAGATTAAATTTAATACCATATTCTGTCAATTCTTTGATGCATGTTTTTCACATTTAACATATTTGAAATGACATTTTGTATTTTTTTCTCTCGCTTAGTGAGACATAAAATAATCTGTATTATATAATAACCGAGGGCATCTTGTTTTGATGAAATAATGGTGTTGCTTTTTCATAGATTGCTATAAGAAACAATCATACGAGAAATGAGTATTACCAGTGGTGTAATGTACTTTATGGATAGGTATACAAATTTTTTCAGAATACTGAAGTTATTCCCCAAGTTTACACTTGATTTTAAAATGCCCATGAATGCGATTACAGTAGACCCCCTTGTATGCCATTTTGCTTTCCACAGTTTCAGTTACCTGTGGTCAGCTGTAGTCTGGAAATATTGTATTGAAAAATCCAGAAATAAACAATAAATTAATTTTAAATTGTGATCTCTCACCAACCTGCCTGGAACAGGGAGGGTACTGCAGTACTTGTGTTCAAGTAACCCTTGTTTTACTTACTAGTGGCCCCAAAGTATAACAGTAGTGATGCTGGCAATTCCTATTTGCCAAAGAGAACCTGTAAAGTGCTTCCTTTAAGTGAAAAGGTGAAAGTTCTCAATTTAATAAGGAAAGAAAAAAACCATATGCAAGGTTGCTAAGATCTGTATAAGAACCAATCTTATATCATGAAATTCTGAAGAAGAAAAAGAAAATTTCATGCTAGTTTTGCTGTCCCACGTCATACTGGAAAAGTTCTGGCCACTTAGTGATAAATAGTTAAGATGAAAAGGGCATTAAATTCGTACAATGAGATGTTTTGAGACAGGAAGAGAGACCATATTCACATAACTTTTATTACAGCATATTATGTATTAGTTTTTATTTCTTAACTGTACCTAATTTATAAATTAAGCTTTATCATAAATATACAGGGGTATGTGTGTATAAACACAGGATGGAGATCTATCTATCTATCAGATCTCCATCCTGTGTTTCAGGCATCCACTAGAGGTCTTGGAACATATCCTCACAGATAAGCAGGAGTTGTATACAACTGAAATGTTTTTTTCTTCTCCACTTATGAAACCTCCAAGTATCTTTCCTCCTCCCTTTCATTTCTCTCTCAACCATAGGTATTGATAGGTGGGAATTCCAGTCTCTTACCAGGAGAGGCCAGTTACACAGTCAGAACTGAGGCAGGGAACTAAGATGTCTGTATTGGAGGGCAAAGTAGTGGGTAATATGGGAATCACAGAGTGTACACAAAGACTATGAGCTTAGCATGAAGGTCTGCTTATTAATGTTAATATTTCTATAAGGGAAAAGAGTTTTAAGCATATTTTAGGAGGGAAGTTATATTGTTCCTTATACTTGAATGTTATGGACAGTAGGTCCTAACAATAATTAACATCTATATTAATTTTCTAGGACGTGGTATTTATTCCAACATGCTGGGATTCCTTGGTGGTGTCTCCTGGGCAATGCTAGTTGCAAGAACTTGCCAATTATATCCAAATGCAGCAGCTTCTACTTTAGTTCATAAGTTCTTTTTAGTTTTTTCCAAGTGGTAAGTATTCACATGCATATTTTTATTATTTACTAACCTCTACCTATATGTAAATTTGTTTGGAAATCTAACAGCTATGCACAGACTTTCTTCCATTCCTTTTTAGTTAAGTTTTAAAAAATCAAATTTGAGGGGGGGTAGAGGGTGGGAAGGGATAGACTGGGATTTCAAAATTGTAGAAT